AAGAAAGAAAGAAAGAAAGAAAGAAAGAAAGAAAGGAGAGAGAAAGAGGAGAGAGAAAAGGGAGATGAGAGAGGGGGAGAGAAAGAGGGGGTGGAGGGGAGAAAGAGGAATCAAAAGGAGAAGAGAGAGAAGAAAAGAAAGCGAAAGAGAAAGGGGGAGGAGAGAAATCGAAAGGAGAGAAGAGAAGGCAAAAGAGAAAGAGAAAAATCAAATGAAAGAGAAGAGAGAAGGAGAAAAAGAAAGAGAAAGGGAAAGAAAGCAAGAGAGAGAGAGAGAAAAGAAAGAGAGAGTCAGGAGAGAGAGGGATGAGCCCTCTAGCAATGGGTCACCAACCGTGGGCACCTTAAGACCTGTGGGACTTCAACTCCCAGAATTCCCCTGTAGCTGGCTGGGGAATTCTGGGAGTCAAAAGTCCACAAGTCTGAAAAGTGCCCAACGTTGGAGTCCCCTAACCTAGCTGGCCCGTTACCAGCGCCACGTTTAAGAATCCTTCCGCTCGGAAGGGCAGTTTTTTCCATTCGGGGGCTGGCCTGAGGCTCTTTTTGTCCTGCCCCCCCTTTGTAGGGTTTGTCGGCAAGATCACCTTGCAGATCCCCTTCTACCGCCCCCACATCGATCCCTGGGTGATCTCGGTGTCGAAACTGTACCTCATCGGCTCCCCGGAAAAGCCGGAGGAGTTCGTGGAAGCGCGAGAGCGATTGCTGGATCAAGAGAACAAGAAGGCTCTTCTCCTCGCTCTGGAAGAAAAATGGAAAGTGAGTCCCTTTCCTGCGAGAAAGAAAAAGAAAAATAGCTTGGATGATTTCTGCCTTTCGGCTTTGGTTGTGGCCACTCCATCCGTGGAGGCGTTTAAGAAGAGTCTCTAGACAGTCACTGATCTGAAAGAGTAGTGGGTTTCCTGCCTAAGCAGGGGGTTGGACTAGAAGACCTCCAGGGTCCCTTCCAGCTATTCTCTTTCTCTTTCTGTTTCTAGTCTATTTCTAGTCTATTTGTATTCTACTTCTAGTCTATTTCTAGTCTATTTGTATTCTATTTCTAGCCTATTTGTATTCTATTTCTAGCCTATTTGTATTCTATTTGTATTCTATTTCTAGTCTATTTGTATTCTATTTGTATTCTATTACTAGTCTAGTTCTAGTCTAGTTCTATTTCTAGTCTATTTCTAGTCTATTTCATTCTACTCCACTCCACTCCACTCCACTCTATTCTACTTTATTTTATTCTATATTTCTATTCTATATTTCTATTTTCTATTCTATTCTACTCTACTCTACTCTACTCTATTCTCTATTCTGTTGCACTCCACTCTGTTCTACTCTATTCTATAATTTTATTCTATCATTAAAAGTGGGATTGAGGGTGTGAGGGTTGCTTGCTCGGGTCCTTAATTGTCTCCTCTGCCGGTTCGAATCCTGCCTTTCCCCCTCTCTCTCTCTTAGAAAGAACAGGAGCAGGTCGGAGAGTCTTACTGGTATTCAGTCACCGCCTCCGTCGTCACCAAGATTGTGGAGAACATTGAAGTAAGTCGAACGGGGGAAGCGCCCTCCGCACGGCGTGGCCCTCGGCTTGCAACCATCGTAAAAGGCATCTGCGGCCGACGGTCCGAACTTTGGTCCCCTGGCTGTGGGGATGCTGCAGTGGTCATAAGTGTGAAAAAACAAAGTCCCCCCCCCCTTTTTTTTCAACTTCGTAACTTCGAACGGTCGCTAAACAAAGCAGAACATCTAGATTCGGTCGCAGGTTGCACCCACCTTGCAAAACCTCAAGTTTCCTTTTCCCGCTATGTATTCAAAACGACCAATGAGTAATATACGTGTATATAGGCACGAATGTAGGTGTATATATGTATGTATGTATGTATGTATGTAGCGTGTGTACATGGGTGTTTTGCAAGTGTATGGGTAGATATAAGCTTATTTTCTTTTGAGAGCAAGCAACAAAATTTCGTTTTGTGTGCTCACAGTTAAAAAAAAAAAAGACTTGCAACTGTTTTTTTCACACACTTAACGACCATTTTGATCACGTGATCAAAATTCAGGAAGGGAAACCAGATTCACTTAGACTCCCTGAGCAACGGCAGTGATTCACTTAGCGAGGGAGGCTGCAAAGCTCGCTTAACCACGGTCTCCCTGGGCAACAGGGATCTGTGGCTCCGTTCTTGCCGTAAGTCGGGCGCTAGCTGTGCCGGCAAGCAAGGCCCCATTGGCTGCATTTGTGGATGACGATGTCGGCGTCGGCCTTTAGACGGCAAAATTAAAAGAGACCCTTCCCCCTTTTTTGCTTTTCCTCCAGCTAAACATTCAGGACGTACACCTGAGATTTGAGGATGGGGTCTCCAACCCGTCCCAGCCCTTCGCCTTCGGCATCTGCATCAAAAATGTTTCCATGCAAAATGCCACGGATGAGCCGGTGAGTAAACATTGACACACACACACACACACACACACACACACACACCCGTTAAGCTGACCAAAGACAGTTGTGATGTGGCAACCTTGCCCTTTCTTTCCACCCCGTAGAAATCCTGGTGGGGTATAGCACAGGAGTTGCCCTCAGTGGTTCAGACTGTACCATTTTAGGGGTTTGGTGGTAGAACAGCTTCAGAGCCTGCTCTGGTTAGTCCTATAAAACATGGTTTGAACACAAAATAGCAATAGCTGTATTCTAACTTCTGTGGCAGGAAGGAAGGAAGGAAGGAAGGAAGGGAAGGAAAGGAAAGGAAAGGAAAGGAAAGGAAAGGAAAGGAAAGGAAA